TGTGTGTGTTGTGTGTGTGCATGTTATGCATGTGGAAGCAGGTTTCTAACAAACTGTGTGTGCCCTTATGAAGCTGTCCACATGTGTTGGGTCTGTTTGGTCATGCATCTCTGCAGTACAATGAATTATACACAGAATTCAGCAGCAGCCTTTTACTTGAGTGTCTTTCAAATCCCCCCAGTATAGCGGAGAATCTATTTCCCCATGCAGTAGCACTTCAGGCCCGGCTCTGATTGATTGTCTGTTAAACTGCTAGTGTCTGAGAGACAGTCTGCCAGGAAGCCTACAGTGTGACTCTGGGTCCACAGCAAACAGACAGGGAACAAGCTCCTTCACTACACAGGATAAATCAAGCTAATTAAAAGGGATGTGTAATTTGAAAGTAAGTGCTTGGCACAAAGCTGGCCAAATCGCACCTCCACATGCACCATGAATACAGTACATGCCTCTATTTTAAAAAAAGTGGGACCTGGCAGCCTGGATGGAGACTCCAAAAACACAAGTCTCACCATCACACACTCATACTGAGACAAAGTTATCAGCTATAAGAGCAATGAAGCGAGATTCATGAGTAAATTTGCACTCCTGCACACCTCCGCAGATTGTCTGAAATAGCAGGAAATTATAGTGGAGGTGGGAGGAGGCGAGGTGATGTGACCACGAGAACAATAATCTACAGACAATGTAATCAAGATAATGAAAAAGTAGAGCTGTGTCGATCAGTTAATTAATTGTTGATGGAAGGAAAATGAATCGGCAACTATTTTTAACTATCAATTAATTGTTGTCTCAGGCAAAACAGGAAAACATGTTGATAGTTTGAGTAATAATGTGAGAAATTTCTGTTTTTTCTCAGTCTTTGATTTGAGTAAATTGAATATTATTGGGGTCTGGACAAAAGGTCATAAAATAAAAATTAAAAATCACCCAGTCAAAATTCACCCAGTTTGTGTCAATACAGTATAGCACCAATACAATACTGGGTTACCTTAACCCAATAGGTTATTATGGTCCAGTGTTAGAAACAGCAGGCTAAAGTTTAACCATAACCTGTGACAGTTTTACAGAATTGTTGATAATGAAAAAATCGCTTGTTGCAGCCTTAATAAAAAACACCTTTTCACGTATGCTCTTATGCTCTAACACACTTGTTCTCGCAAGTTCTTGACAAACAATATCCAGCTAGGAAGTCTTGTGTACAGTGCGCGATTATGCAAAGAGGAAGGAACTGGTGTGACACAAGTGACAGTGAGAGGCTTTAAATAATATCAGCTAATCACTGGTCCAAACCCCAGTTCACAAGATCCTGGTGGATGGCTGAGAGCATGGACCACACAGGGAGCAGGGCAGGTTAGGACATCCAAACAGCTCGGTGGCGCACAGTCGGTGTCATTCTGCCGGAACTTCCCACAGAGGGCACATATCTCACAAAGCTCCAGGAGATTCGCCAAAATCCAGCTGTACCCCGCTGAGAAGTCATATCAGCTGCACATTATGTGGTCTATCTGTGACCAAGACCGCCTGCCTTCATGTGTCTGTCGCCTCAGGGTGTGTGTGAACTCACAGGTGTCCAGCTGTGACTCGGTGGCATAGGACTACAGCAGGTGATTTGAATCATCTTCTGTAGTGGGGTTTTTTATTTATTTATTTTTTGGTAGAATTAAAACCTGCATATTCTCTGAGCCCTCTATGGCGCATGATTGGACAGCACTGGGACACTGTGGTTGCTGGACTGCCCAATCAACCCCTGATTTTGACAATAAAATGACGATTGAGGCGTCCTGCCACTAAGCAGATTTGTCAACGTTGCAGAGTCAGGTGCAGACGAAATGTATCCGTGCGTAACGCTCCCCCCACAGTCCGAAAGGAAATTTGAACGCACGGTGTTTGGATCAAAAAATGATGAGATGAACAAAAGGCATCAAAATGTGATTTCAGCCAGAGAGGGTCATTTCGGAGGCGAATATATGTCTACACTCTTCTTAAAATACATAATATATTCTGGGGCATCCCTCCGCTCCTTATCAGTGCGCGCACACACACACAGCAGATCCTGGCTAAATCACCAATGCACAAGGTAAAAAGGCTCACATTAGAGAAACTGTGTGGCCCTATGTACTACTTCTATGTAAGAGACTGCAGTTTCTGTGGGATAGTCTAACCGTTTTGATCGCCCTCTTGTCCCAGACCAAAAGAAAAAGAGAGGACCTACCTGGTAATCTCGAAGCTGCAACCTTTCCGGAGGAGCAAGGCTCTCTTCCGCATGATGCCTTTGTCTCTGCCGAGGTACACATTTTTATCTGAATTCATGGGTGCTGGACGAGCAGGTAGACTCGGGGAAACAGCAGTGCTTTCTTTCCAAGGAAAAAAAAAGTCAAAAAATCGAGCTGGGACTGCGAGAGGCGGAAGGAGAAAGAGAAACAGGCTTTCCGAAAAAGGAGAGGAGAAAAAAAAAATCCTTTGACGCTCGGTCCACCTCAGAGGAGCAAAGCAAAGTGATCTTGCAGACTTTTTTCCACCCTCAGACTACACAAAAGACGGTGTGTTGAAGCTTTCATTGGTGCATGGTGTCGTGGTTGGTGGTATCTCCATGCGGGCTTATTGGAGCGGACTGAAGCGGGGCTGCTGCAGTTGTGAACCTGAGCGGACTGTGCTGAGGAGTCTCCGCGGCTCCAGAGATCCTGTGATCCTGAACTGTGGAGCCCACAGCGCTCCCTCAGCTTCAGCCCGGCACTGAGTGGCTGCGAGGCAATGACTTCATGAAAGTGATGGAGAGAAAGAGAGAGAGGGAGAGGCTGGTGGTAACACAATGTTTGTCCATCCATCCATCCATCATCACATAATATATAGCCTATGGATTTAGTGGCCTTTCACTTGCTTGGTAGCTGAATAACAGATAGAGAATATATCAGCAGTGCTTTAATTTAGTGGGGGGAAAGCAATTTAGTGCTTTTTACAGCATTTATTTTTCGCATTTCTTAGTTTCTTTGGGCACTGAGAACAGAAAGTAATCTTTTTTTTTCAACTGACAACACAGTTTCAAATTATGAGCTTCTACCTATAGACCTCGGTTTAAATAAAGTACACTTTACTCATAGCAAATAATACAAAATATTATATTTAACATTTATTCCTTGGATCAGAGCAATATGTAACATCTGAGAAAACCTTTAACACATGAAACAAGAAGCTTTTTTAAAGAAAATAAGCAAATGGAAAGTTTTTTTAATATGCAGTGCATTCTTTGTAGAGCTACTCATTTGTGTTCTGATTTGATGCAGTACAGCAGTTTTTTGAATGATAGATGTAGACAATGGTGTGAACAAGCAAAGCCCATTTCAATGTTCATATGGACACCTGACAAATAGACTTGAATTGTGAACCTATCATTTAAAGGAACAGTGTGTAGGATTTAGCGGCATCTGTGTAATTGCAGATTGCAGCACCCTCGCCTTACCCCATTCCAAGCGTATATTTATATGATGACAGGGGATGACACCCAGCAAAGGGCCACAGGTTGGATTCAAACCCCATGGCTGCTGCACCAACGACTCAGCCTTTGGTACATGGGAGGCCAGCTCTACCATGGTAGCTATCAGGGCGCCCCGAGTGTGTTCTTTTTAACATACTAAGATCCACAGACAGTGAGTCAGCTCAGTCAGGTTAAGTACAATTAATATTTCAACAAGATATCCCAACTTAAAGTGTCTACCAAAAGCAGTGTTTACTCTGCTAAAACAACACTCAGCAGCAAGTGCATCCCGCTGTGGGTGCTATGGATTAGTTGATTAGTTCTAAAAATAAAAATGTGGGTTGGTTGTGCATCCTGCGCTTCATTAGGGTGGGACGTCAAAGGGTGATTCATAGGGCACGCAGAGAGAGAGACTGAAGTATGGGACGGTTCACATAAGGTCTAATAATCAGTCTGCACAGAGAAAATATTGGCTAATTTCATTCCTGCTTGTCTCATATAACAACAGTTTCCTGTCATATTTTTTGCAAAGGTGGTATTTATTTACAGTGTTGAATATCTTGACAATATCAGCGTGAAATGAAAGTATAAAGCATTTGAGAATGGATACTTAACTAACTATTGTAGCACTGAGAAAGGCTGATGACATACCAGTCTTTTTGAGAAAATGTGAAACAATCATCACTATTCATCATTATTAACAGACACCTATTGCTTTATTTGTGAGACTATGAGGTGATGATGAATGTCAGTGTCGTGTTAACAACTTGTTTCTGCTTCCACCAAGTGCACAAAATCACTTATTGTAAGCTTTAAGGATTGCAGCTTTACAGTTAACACGATCAGGCAACTTAGAGTGAATACAATGGAACCACAAGCAGAAAACAATGTCTCAGCATGTTTACTTCTTGTTCTGCTTTTGTAATAAAACCACTGAATTATCTGTGACACGCCAAAACAATGGCAGAGAAGTAGAGAAGAGTTATAAAGTCTGTGAACTCATTCTGTAATATCTGTTACACACAAAAATAAAAAAATTGCTAACAATAGCAACCATTAGCCACCATAAGCTACTGGTCTTATGAGAAACCCTTACTGATCTAAAAATATTGTAGCAATACAACAGGGTGCAATCTCTTTCACTTTCACCATCAGCGTACACCTGCTGAAGTAATTTTTCAGACACCCGTTGTTATCACTCACGGAGCTTGGACAGAAAGAAAGATGGGGATCCGCAGGATTCAATAATAACTGACGAGGAAAGGAAATATAACGGCAGATCATCTCCATAGTTTCTACTTTGATCAGTAAATCTATGTGGTGGTTGTTTTCCGTAGGTTGTTGGTTGTATGTTTCACCCTTTCCATCCAGTAGAAGGGAAAGTAAGCTGATAACTCCCACATATGCACAAAGACACATGCTCACACACATACACTCACACTGTCTAGTATGTCAGCCCAATGTTTAGATGAGGAATTCTCTAAACATGACTCACAGCTGCATTCAAAGAAAGACCCGGCCATGTTTGTGTGATTGGAAAGACTTCAGTTTTGTTGCTCAAACCTTCTCACTGTGATTCAACAGAACTGCCTCTTACCACATCTCTCTACGGTTAGAGATGCTTTAAATAACCGCCCTCTCTCTAACACTACAATCTCATTGTGTCGCAGGTATGTTAGCAGCAGCTTAGAGTGACATAAGTGACAAATACCTGTTGAGGCATTATGTTATGATTGTAGAGAGATGCAGCATTTACTGTAATTGAGACTTTCAGAGGCAAGCTGCCTGCCATTATCATTATTTCGTTTAACATTAAAAATGACATGTTTTCCAAATGAATACCATATGTCTCAGTGTCAGATATCCTCCTGTGTGGCATGTGAGGCAGTGAGGTTATGCAATGTATGTGCAGGTTATGCAGTGTACGTGTAGCTCTTTCCCGTATTTGGAGGATGGAGGGCACTGAAAGTCTGTGATCTCACTGCAGGACTGTAACGGAAATCAGAAAGTCAACAGATTTGTGTGGTTGGTGAGAAAGAACAGTCCATGTGTCAATAATCATTATCATGAGTTCCATGTCCCTGTCTTGATGTGCTGTGTACTGAGCCAGGTTTGAGTAACACTTCACTTTTTAATCAGCTTGATCAACAACGTAATGACTAGCTGCCATTCTGAACATGCATGTTGCCAGCCCCCCTGCTCTGATTATGGCTCAGTCTCTATCACCAGACTGACCAATGACCTCTAGATGTACATTTTAAGGTCATTTCATCCAGACAGAAGCAGAGAGTAACTCTGTGTGCAGCCTCCATTAGTCAGGAAGTGGCAGTTAGGGTCAATGGTGGAAAAAGGACAGCACAAGAGGCAACACACACACACACACACACACACACACACACATTCAAAAAGA